AGACATCTCGTTCTTTTTAGTTTTTAGTAGTTAGAGAAACTTTTTGGTCAACTGTGAAAGTCTCTCTTTCTCTTAACTAACTCTCACCTCTCTTTCCAAAAATCAACTTATCTAATAAACGTCGACAATCAATGACCGAACTATTACGATCGTTGATTGTTGACGATCAATGGTCAACCTCCGCCCTAGCTACACTTCGATGCTGGATTCGCCCCTGCATATGTATATTTTATTTTTCTTACTTCTTGTGTCTTTATTTATTCCCCATATTCATATACATCCCAGCATGCTTGGCTAAAGCCTAAAAATAGTATAGTTATTTTAACTAATTTTAATTAACTTTTTCTACCTTTCAAAAATAAAATTAGCGCAATAGAGTTCTGATTATGAAACTTGTCATGATATCATTACTAGAAAAATAAAAATAAAAATAAATTAAAGTTGACTTAAAAATAAAAATCTCGACACTGGTTGACATTTACTCTAAGAATTCGAATGATATGTTCAAAGTTTCACTGTCTTTTTTGTGCGTGATGTTATTTTTCAATTGATTTTTGGTACGACTATTATCAGTTATAGAAAGGTTATGTTCATAACCCTAATCATTATTCTTGAATAAGTTTTATAATTAAAAGATTTCTCATTAGTTGTTTTGGAGCAACCAAGACAATCTATCTCGCTTAGATAGATAGATTCTTGAGCTTATAATTAGTTAATCAGCTTATTTTTCCCAAAACTAATTTTTTCAAAATGATAAACTAAAAAGTAGCTGAAATATTCATTAAAGCACTTGATGATCTAATACCTAATCTATTCTCCACAGAACTTGGAGAGAGCACAGTTGACCAAATCATACGTTCCCTTTCAAAATTACCTAATGATCACAAAAATGAATCTCGTGGTACTTATCCAAACAATGTAAGAGGCTGTTTGAGAGTGATTTTGAGAATTGATTTTTTGACTGTTAGAAGAAAAGTGGGGTCTACCTGTGAGAGAAAAAGTCAAATATGACGGCTGAAATAGTGAAATAACGGTCAAAAAATCAATTTTTTTGTGAAAAAATCGGGCCCAAACAGGCCCTAAGTGTTGGATCAAAAAATTTCGACTTTTTGCTATCATATAATACTATCTACCGTATCTCATCTAACATCTTTGGTGGTGTTTTGGCAAAAGAATTGTATTTTATCAAACATGTTACCGTGTCAAATTACGTAATCGTCAATTATTGTGTAAAGCATCCGCCCAAGCCTTTAATTCGGCCTAGCAATCGTCCCGGACCGCCTTCTGAACCAAGAGATTACCGGGTCATTCATTGCGAGAGCCATGGGGCCTACTGGGGTTCTGAATCCTACAATTTCCAAATTGTCTACGCAGGGATGATCAAAACCCGCCATCTCGCCCTTCTTCTCTGCATTCTTGCAATCTTTACAGAAACCCTTCTTATTTTCTTTTGTAATCGCCATCATTCTCGAAGATCTTATATTCGAAACTGTATCCAGGTTGTTACCATGACCCCAAGTAAACCTTGGACGATTCACCCTTTTAGGCCTCGGAGTTTTCAGAACCTGCAAAAACGAGCGGCAAACTGGGGCCGGTTCAATGCGCACCGGCCAATCGTGGTGGTGGTGCTTCGTCATTAATTCATTAAAAAACGCAACTCCATTGCCATTGGTCATCTCCCATGGATTTCTTGACATTAATTCCAATCTTTTCCAAACCACTAGGAAGATGATGTCATTCTGCAAACAAAGAAAGTCGAAGTTGATATCTTCTTTGGCGGGAACCACCAGTGGACCATCCGGTGCCGGAGAATACGGGTTCTTGACGAGGAAAATGGATACTTGATGCGGCGATTTGCCTATCTTCTCACACACGTTTGACACGAATTGCGTGTGTTCCAGCCCCACGTTTATTACGACGTTCCCGCAATTGATCTCCTTTACTCCGTCGAAGAAGACCACAGGGACCTCCGGCTGCGAATCCTCCCATCCGGGAGGTCGTTCGGCCAGTCTACTTACCATTAGCTCATAATAACATTAGTATGACAGTATATAAATGCAAGCCCTACTCTCCACAACCACAAACTCACGCACGGCTCCACTGCCTCTATGGTCCAAATCGTCGTCGCCTCCGAAAATTTGTTACATTTGTTAGTCATTCTATTACTGCTGATCATGTAAAAACAGAGTTCGATGTTTATCTAGACGTGCCAATATTGCCAAGGATGAATAGGAATCAACTTTGAATGCTGATCTATGCTAGTAAGACTTGTAGGGAAGAATGCACCAAGTAACTTCGATGCACAACAATTAAGAATGAAGGAAAAGTTTAGTATTATTATATTTATAATATTGTTTGTTAAATTTGTATTTTATAATTGAAAATTAGAATAATGTTTGCATTTACGTTTAGAATATTGTTTGATAATGTTTGCATTTTCGTTTGGAATATTGTGTTTTTGTTTTCATTGACTTTTTACATAAATTGTTTTATATCAATTTGACGGATGAACCTATAAAAAATAATTTATTTTCGTGGTTATTAACCGAACCAAACCGTGCCGAACTGAGATAAAAACCGAACCGAACCGATTTACGTGGTTATTGTGCGGTTATGGTATGGTCAAAAATTTGGTGGTGCGGTTAAGATTTTGGCCGAACCGACCCATAACCGAACCGTTGCCAAAGATTTTGGCCGAACCAACCCATAACCGAACCGTTGCCAACCCTACTTAAGTTTCTTCTTAAGAAAAAAAGTGAAATAGAGCGACTAGTGGAAGAGAGTTGTTGGATATATAGTAGTTTCCGTTTTGAAGAGATGGCAATTTGAACCGTCAAAACCGAAAACCGCGATTAACCGAACCGAATGGGGCGAAAAAAACCGAACCGATGGTGCAATGGGGCGGATATGGTTTTGATTTTAATGAACCGGTTCGGACTCTATTAGTTACCACAATTTTTTATACTCTATTTAAATTAGACATGCATAGTGCATAATTACCCATTTACATGAGATCCATTATTATTCATCCTAAAAAATTAGGTGTAAATTACATCTCACCCTACTTTTAAAGATCAATATTCTAAAATAAAGGTGAAAATTTCGTTATTAAAAAATAAAATATTTCATATTTAAATATTAAATATTATAATACAAATTTCATCACAAACACTAATTAATTTCTCATCTCATTTCTCTCTCTTTATCCCTCCTTTCCCATTTCGTCATCTCTCCTCCTCTCCCTCTCTCTCTCTCTCCCTCACTCTTCTTCGACGAAGACGCAGCTATGAAGAACCCTTGCTCTCTTCCACCCCTTTCTCTCTCCCAATCTCCTCTTTCTCTCTCTCTATACAGCGACGGAGCGTCATAATCTGCTGTGGGTTTTTTGGCTGTGTTTTCAGTTGTTGGGTGGGGCTGTCGTGGTGTGGTGTTTGGTGGCTTGTTGAATCCAGTGGTGGCGAAGGTTATGTTTGGATCTGGTGTGATTGTGGTTTTGTTGGTGGCGGTGGTGGTGGATCCTGTTGCTCGCTATGTGTGGTGATGCGGTGCATGCAGCGAGGTGCCAGGCGGTGATGTTTGACGGTGGTGCATGCAGCGAGGAGCCGGGCGACGTTTTTCCATAGGCGCTGCAGATTGGGGGTCCTTTCTCCCATTTTTAGGTGTGGTGGTAATCTGCAATGGAGGTGTGCGATGGGTGGTTGGGTGCAGTGCTGTTGACTAGTGGCTGGGTATGGTGTTGTGTGCAGTGAGTGGTTCAGTGCGGTATTATTGACCAGTGGTTGTGCATGGTGATTGTGTGGTGTTGTGTGAGACTTGATGGTGGATCTGGTGGGTGTGCAGGGTACGGTGGTTGTGATGGCAACTTCCATATTTTGGTAGTCGTGGGCAATCGGCGATGGGGTCGTGGCAGTGATTACGATTTTTTTTTTTGCAATGTATTTATTTGTTTGAAGTGTTGATATTGTTGTCGGGAGGTGGTGATAGTGGTTCTGGAGACGACAAAGATAATAGTTGCAACTGTTGCTGTGGTCACAAATTATTTGATTGATTATGACTATTAAATTGATTATTCTGTGACCATAAAACAATATGTTACCAATGAAAAATATAAATTATGATAAAGAAATAACGTGTGATCTAAAAAATTATAACTTCGATTAAATAATAATTTTGATTGGTGCGAAAACATATTAAATTAATAATATATTAAAAAGTTCTGACGAGACTTTCTCATATTACAACAAATAATTATTTAATGTCAATAGGCTTCAATAGGATCATTTCATGAATCAGGGTTTGTAATATAACTATGATATTCAACCTCACAATCTTGCTTATTTTTCATGACGCTCTCAATTATCTGCTCATAGATCAACATCTGGAATATATTAACATATTGATGTCTAATTTTCACTAAATTAATTAATTTTTTCTTGATCCTAAGAATATTAATTTATAAATTCTTGGACTTTTAAATGTTCAAAGAGATTGAAATCGTTACAATGAATTTGATACAAGGTAAGGGGTTGCGGATATACAAGTATTTTGATTAAAAGTCCTTATTACTCTATCAAAATAATTTTATTATTTCTGACATTCATAAATAAAATTTATTATTTTAAAATGTACGTTTTAAACTTGTAAGTAAAAATATTAAGCTCAGCAAAATTGAGTTTAGAGACTATTTCTTTTTGAATTATGACATTGATTCAGACCAACGAAGTCAATCTTTGATTTTCTTGACGATCATATACATTTCATCAGAACAGTTTCTCCTCACTGAACCATAATTAGACTGAATCAAACTGGTCTGTAAAATTGAAAACTTGTTGAAATTCATTATTACCACATTTCATTTCTAAAATCTAATCTATCCTATCAGATTAGCGTGTGTGAATGTGATCTACAACGTAAAGGGACTCAAATTTCTTACTAGGGAATAGAGAGGGAAATCATACAATATATCACAAGAGTGATAGACAAACTACCAAAGCTATGGGGAATAGAAAACGACGCTGAAACATGCAGCGATATCTTTACATATCAAAAATATCCTCCGGTGGACACATTGGATCAAGGTTTCAAGAGCGAAATGTGACAACAGATTAAACATAAAATAGCGGATACAACAGAATCCTGTGGCACAATTTAAATGCTAGCTAGCTGCCATCAACGTATTGAGAATGCAGCATAAAACTACTACTAACCTAGCAATAAATCTTTTCTCACTGACCCAAATTCATCAATCTTCGTAAAGACGACGTCCTAATTGGCAGCTGGTGGTAGAGGTAGCATACTTGGTTCAGCAACTCGAAACATACCTGTCGCTAGTCTCCTCGATAGATCCTCCACGGATACTTTTATTACATCCCTCCTCATGCCAATGTCAGCAGAATAGCGACTGGCGCAATAAGCCCCTATTGCTGTTGCTGCCATCCCATAAACATTAGTGGTGACAAAACGAAGTGGTGTAGACAAGATTGCTGCAAGGGGCCCACCAACTACAGATACGGCCTGTCCACTTCGCCCCATTGTATTTCGATCCAACACAAGCAATCCCGTCTTGCAGTAAATAGCAAAATCTTCGCAGTTATTCTTAAATACGTTATAGCACCCGAACCCATTGTCAAGCAGGTGCTTTGCTCTATGAATGACATCATCATCAGGATCCGAGATTGCAAGAGTACAAGTTCCCCCACGTGCTTTTGCAAGGAATAGAGCAGGACTTACAGCATACTCGAAGCAATACAGAATACCACCAGCAAGGAAGCAGTTCAAACATGATGAGACCACTCCATGACATTCAGATTCTTCTGCTGGAACACAGGTGGGACAAGGTGCATGAGATCGAGTTGGTCCAGAGCTTACTAAGAGGAGATCTAGCACAGTCCCTGTTCCTACTTCTTGGCCACGTCTCGTGAAATGTATAACTTTATCATCCCCAACATAGATGCCTGCTCTTTTACAAATACAAATAGATGTTTTGAGTGAAAAAAGTCTTTATCAGAATGTCAAGAAACATTCAATGCCCCAAAATATCAATGATGTGGTAATGTTCAACTGAGAAGGATTGGCAGTACGAGCTCTTAGTATTTCCCAATAACATACTTTGGTGGAATAACATTCATTAAATCCACATATTGCTTAAACCAAAAATCAGCACCAAAACTATTTGAAGACAAAATACAGGCAAAAACCAACTGCTACATCCCAGCTAAACTATGAAGTCCTCATTTTATGACTTGAGCTGCCTACTCCTTGTACAAGAATCCACACAAGGTTTGGGTAAATTTTTCCTCTTCTTGTGCAGATTCCATGAATGGTGAGGCTCCTTGCAATACCATAACATAAATTTTAAACAGAGGACAGTTTGATGAAGTACTTCGCTTTGCAGTTCACCAAAAATACCAGCAACTTAAACCACACCACCAAGCAAAGCTTTAAAAGAACACGGACAATCACTACCAACAACGACAAACTAAGTCTTGGTCCAAATAGCGCAAACACTAACAAAAGGGAAGTATGGAAATTTATGGATGGAGAAAAATGGTCGAGAAATGGCCAAACTGGGTGAACACACAAACATGTCCCCAAACAAAGTCACCAAGTCTATAAGTCCCACATACTAAGGGGAAAAACAGATTCTTTATTATCATTTATGATGAAGTCATTCTCAATCTCTCCACTGGCGCTTTCCTGCAGGAGATATTTCCACCAACAGAAAAACCAGGAAAATACAGGAAGTTTTTATTTAGAAAATAAAAATGAGTCGCTAAACAGATGCCTAAATATTTGTTGCACTAAGAAATAAGATGTTTTGGGAAAGAAGAACAGTTTTTTTGCTTGGACTATTCAGTGATAGAATTGATGCTGTATTTACTAATAGCATGTAGCAAAACTCACCAAGTTCTTTTCCTTTCTCCAAATACAAGACATGACAATTTAAAGAATATATTTACATGAACACAGCACAAAATTTTCTGTATCTACATCGAACATCAACGTGCTAAAACTTTACGTTGAGGGAAAGAGAGTTTGAAAATGAAAGGCGCTGCAATTTTTGGTTATACAGGAAAACTAAATTCCAAGGAATCCAGAAAATGGAAAAATTGGATCTATGTTCAACGGATTACACCTAGTATATACACATAGATTATATATATCGAGGCAGAAACACGAGGCAATGGTGCAAAAGAGAAGGTGGCTTGGGCCACCAAAGGTTAAAAGGGGATGGTGACGATGGGGGAAGGGACCGAGAGGTGGTGACCATTCTCAAGAACCAAAATGATACCTAAACTTTCTGTAAGGTGGATCACAACATAGTATTGGTGCAAGTTGATTGGTCTAGAGAATGTGACTTGAATTGTGCTAGTTATGGAGTAATATGGACCATAGATTAGATCCAACCATTGGATTTAATCTTGTGGTCAATTATCTATACTAGTATTGTCACTCTCTAGACCATGGTACAATATTTTCAAATGAATTGGCTCTATAATTTCAAGACCTCTTCATTCTCTCTACTTGGACTTGGCATAACATTTGAGAGAGAGCATAGAGAGGTAACCAAGTGGGAGCTTTCCATAACTCTGGCGAAATTCTTGGTGGCTTCCGACTGATCCTTTCTCGGTATATCCATTGCCATTCTCGTGGACAACGGTGCATGATCCGGTGTGGCACAAATCTGAGCTCAACATCAAGAACACTTCATTGGTGGTGTTGAAAAAGCTTTGAGTTGGTTTGGTTTGATTTTACACTTTGAGAGTTTATTATTTCGCATTGTAGTTGTAATAATATTTCATAAACTACATTTTAAACTTTACAAATGGTATCAGAGCTTAGACTAGTGGTAAAAAGTGTTAAAACAACCTGAAAATCGGATTGGAAGTTGAAGGGGTTCGATTTTGTTCGAAAACAAGTTCAGCAGAAACTTTGAACCCATTTTCTAGAAAAACTACATATCTGGTGGACAAACGGAGACCACCACCAGACTCCAGACATCAAGTAGTATAAATCGGTGTAACGCGTGTACCACATGCGCCGGTGGTGGAGGCGGCGCGTGCAACCACGCGCAGAAGACAATCCCGGCGCGTGAGAGCGCATGTATAAGATTCATCCGGAGGTCAAAAAAAAGATTGTTCCTTGATGAATTTCTGACCTTCTAGTGGTGTTGGATTTCTGTTTGGTGCACTGTGAAAGCAGATACAGTCTCCGGCACAAAAGTGGAAACGGAGAAATTTTTCGTTGGCAGCTCGGTAGTGTTTTCATGTGTTTCAACAGCTGTTGGATGACTTAGGGCAGTTACTAGAGGCTTCAGATCGATAAAGACTCGTATCTCTCCTTAAAATACGAACCAATAGATTGGTTCCCCGATTTGTGCACTCTAACACCCTCTCGAATTTACAATTGAAATATTGTGTTATTTGCTGCCACATTGTTACTTGACTCTTGTGATATTGGTTATGTGTTACTTGTTATGATATCATCATTTATGTTATCTTATAAAGGAATTTATACATAAATTGGTTTGAGCTTGCATTTGTGTGTGGGTAAATTGGCTAAGTAAAACTTTTTTCGAAAACATTATTTTGCTAATATGGCATCTTGAGTTGAATTGGCACAATTCAATGATAAGGGAGATTATTTCATTTGGAAGCAAAAAATGAAAGCTATTTTAATTCAACAAAAAGTTTCTAAAGCTCTTGACGACTCGGAAAAATATCCCGATGCATTAAAAGCTAAACCGGATGAAATTACTGAAATGAATGAAATTGCACATAGTTTAATTATATTGCATTTATCTGATGATGTGTTAGGACAAGTTGAACGACAGAAGACTGCCAAAGAGTTGTGGGAAGCACTTGACAAGCTTTTTTTGGAAAAATCTCTTCTAAACAAAATACATTTGCTTCAAAAACTGTTTAGTTTTAAGCTGGACCCGGAGAAGGATCTTAAATCAAATTTGAGTGACTTTAATAGACTCGTCAAGTGTTTATCCCACAACGACAAGAAATTTGATGATGAGTATCTAGCGGTTATACTTTTAAATGCTACACTCGAATCTTATAGAGATGTTAGGAATGCTATCACGTATGCTAGAGATACTTTGAGAAAACATTATTTTGCTAATATGGCATCTCGAGTTGAATTGGCACAATTCAATGGTAAGGGAGATTATTCCATTTGGAAGCAAAAAAATGAAAGCTATTTTAATTCAACAAAAAATTTCTAAAGCTCTTGACGACCCGGAAAAATATCCCGATGCATTAAAAGCTAAACCGGATGAAATTACTGAGATGAATGAAATTGCACATAGTTTGATTATATTGCATTTATCTGATGATGTATTAGGACAAGTTGAACGACATAAGATTGCCAAAGAGTTGTGGGAAGCATTTGACAAGCTTTTTTTGGAAAAATCTCTTCCAAACAAAATACATTTGCTTCAAAAACTGTTTAGTTTTAAGCTGGACCCGGAGAAGGATCTTCAATCAAATTTGAGTGACTTTAACAGACTCGTCAAGTGTTTGGCCCACAAAGACAAGAAATTTGATGATGAGCATCTAGTGGTTATACTTTTAAATGCTACACCCGAATCTTATAGAGATGCTAGGAATGCTATCACATATGCTAGGGATACTTTGACCCAAGATATTGTAACTGATGCTTTGAGGGCTAGATAGCTACAACTTAAGAAAGAGTTGAGGGGTAACTCGAGAGAAGAGAGTTTGTTTGCTAGATGGAGGAATAAGACGAGGGAGAACCATTTTCAAAGTAAGAAGGGCAGAGGAAAATCAAAGAGTAGGTCTAAGTCTAGAGATACGACTGGTAAGAAATGCTTCCGTTGTGGCAAGTTAGGACATTTCAAGAAAGAATGTAATAACATTAAAAAGAAACAAAGATCGCAGCACAATGATGATCAGAACTTAGGTGCTATAAGTGATTCCCTCGATTACCTACATGTTATGACCATGTCATGAGATTTTGACACCGAGGTAAATGGTGCTCGTGATAACATACATGTCATGAATGTTTCTAATATTGATTTTGACACTGAATGGGTATTAAACTCAGGTGCTACTGTTCATATGTGTCGTGTTAAATCTTAGTTCTATAACTATAGAGATGTGAATCCTAGAAAAGTATAATTAGGGGATGATCGTACACACAATGTAGAAGGAGTAGGTGATATTGCTATTAGGATGCATGATGGCATTATCTGACCCCTTAGAGGTGTTAGGTATGTCCCGAGCCTGGCAAGAAATCTCATTTCCTTAGGCACTCTAGAAGAAGAAGGTCATGAGTTCAAATCTTATGCTGGTACTTTAAAGATTTGTAAAGGATCTCTAGTGGCTATGAAAGGTCCCAAGAAGAATGGGTTATATGTCCTTCAAGGTAAAACCTTGGATAGTAAAGAGTCGGCATTATCTTTAGTCTGTGAAGATAAATCAGATCTTTGGCATAAGAGGATGGGACACATTGGGAACAAAGGATTGAAATACTTTAGTGACCAGAATTTACTTTGTAAGGATAGTGTTACACCTTTAAGTTTTTGTGAGACGTGTGTTCTAGGAAAATTATACAAGGTTAGCTTTGGGACAGGTGAACACATCACTAAGAGACCATTGGACTACATTCATGCAAATTTGTGGGGTCCTAAAAAACATCCCACACATGGAGGAAATAGATTTTTTCTATCCATTGTTGATGATCACTCGAGAAAAGTTTGGGTGTATCTCCTTAAATCCAAATCTGAAACTTTTAGTAAGTTTAAGTTTTGGCTTGCCTTAGTTGAAAATCAAATAGGAAAGGGTGTGAAAACTCTTAGGACAGATAATGGTTTAGAGTTTTGCAACTTCGAATTTGATAATTTGTGCAAGGGAAAGGGTATAATGAGGCACAGGACTGTAAGACATACCCCTCAACAAAATGGGATAGCGGAGAGAATGAATCGGATTTTAATGGATAAATTCAGATGTATGATGATTAATTCTACGTTATCTAAAGGTTTCTGGGGTGAAGCCGTGTGCACTGCTGCCTATTTAATAAATAGGTTACCTTCTAGTTCTGTTAACTTCAAAACTCTTCAAGAGTTGTAATCTAGAAAACCCCCAGATTTGTCATATATTAGAGTGTTTGGTTGTGCAGCTTATGCACATCAGGTTGAGGGCAAATTGGACCCTAGGGCTACTAATTGTGTCATGTTAGGTTATTCAGAGGGAGTAAAAGGATATAGACTATGGGTTTTAGGTGTAAAGGGCATTAAGATTATTAACAGTAGAGATGTAAAGTTCAATGAACTTGATATGCCTTGTCTTAAAAACCTAGTAAGTCAGAACAAACAGACTGAGGAAGGAGAATCTTCTACTGGAAAGAAGATGGAATTTGAGGCGAAGAGATTAGGAGATAATCTAGAGGATAGTGAAATCCAACCTCAAGAAGAATCTGATCAAGAAGCAGTGATAGAATAATCTGAACTTGAAATTCCTGAAACTGTTGTCCCTAATCAAGAAACATCTGCAGGCACTAATTTGGATGATTACCAATTAGTGAGGGATAGAGAGAGAAGACAAGTGAAGCCCAATTTGAAATACATCTCTTCAAATTTGATGGAATTTGCCCTAATTTCAGGTGAAGCCTTGGAGTCAGTTGAACCGACTTCATTTGAGGAAGCGGTTAATTGTGAAAATTCTGAAAATTGGAAAAAGGCAATGAGAGAAGAGATTCAGTCTCTAAACAAAAATGAGACTTGGAAGTTGGTTGAAAAACCAAAGAATCAAAAGGTAGTCCATTGTAAATTGATCTACAAGTTAAAAGAAGGAGTAGGACCTAAAGACCCTTTAACATACAAAGCTAGGTTGGTTGCGGAAGGATTTACTCAGAGAGAAGGGATAGACTATAATGAGGTATTCTCACTGGTTATTAAATATAAAACAATCAGGTTAGTCTTAACCTTAGTTATCCAGTATGATTGGTAGTTGGAGCAACTAGATGTTAAGACGGCTTTTCTTCATGGGGAGTTAGATGAATTGATTTACATGTCTCAACCTCAAGGGTTCGAGGTAAAAGGAAAATCAGAACTTGTGTGTTTGCTTAAAAAGTCCTTATATGGTCTTAAGCAGAGTCCTAGGCAATGGTATAAGAGATTTGATGCTTATATGCTTAAAATTGGTTTTAAGAGGAGTGAATTTGATGCATGTCTATATTTTAATAACTCTAAAATAGGCTGTGAAGTTTATTTATTGTCATATGTGGATGACATGTTGCTTATTAGTCCTAGTAAAGTTGAAATCATAAAGATGAAAAACCTTTTAAAATCGAAATTTGACATGAAAGACTTAGGAGAGGCAAGAAAAATCCTTGACATGGTTATTAAAAAGAATAGGGCTGATAATAGGATGACTATTAATCAAGAGTCTTATTTGGATAAAAGTGATAACCAAATTTGGTATGAAATTTGCTAAATCTGTCAATATACCATTAGCTGCACACACGAACTTATCATCTGCACAATGCCCTAAAACTGAAGAAGAAATGCATGAAATGAGTAATGTTCTCTATACTAATGCCATTGGGTCTGTAATGTATTCTTTGATTACCACAAGACCGGACCTTGCATATGCAGTTAGTTTCTTGAGCAGGTTTATGTCTAACTCAGGTAAACCATATTGGACTGCACTTAAATGACTATTATAATACCTAGCTGGATCTTTGAAAAGGGGATTAGTGTTTGAAAGAGAAGTAACAAATTAGAACTTAAAGAATATGTAGATTCTAACTTTGTGGGGGATAAAGATCAGAGGAAATCTACCACTTCTTACTTCTTCACTTTAGGTGATAATTGTATCACTTGGAAATCACAGTTGCAACCTATAGTTACACTCTCCAGCACTGAAGCAGAATATGTTGCATCAAATGAAGCTGTAAAGCAATGCATGTGACTGAAAGGCCTTCTGTGTGAATTAAACTTTCGAATGATAATGCTATGATTTTTACTGATAGTCAAAGTTCATTGATGTTGTATAAAAATCCTGTTTATCATGAGTATACTAAGTATATTGAGGTGAAGTATCACTTCATTAGGGAGAAGTTAGCTTCTGCTAATTTTATTTTGCTTAAAATTGCAACTGATGATAACCCTGCAGATGTTGGAACAAAAGTACTTGCAGTTGGTAAGTTCAACAAATGTTTATCAATACTAAGTATTGATAATGGTTAATTGTTATGTAAGTACTAAGTTAGAGTGAGCGATGATGATAAAAATAAGACCACACTAATGGATATCACTTGTAATCGGGGAATTTGGTGATGGATGTTATGTGATCCAAGGTGAAGATTTGTAAGGTGGATCACAACATAGTATTGGTGCAAGTTGATTGGTCTAGAGAATGTGACTTGGATTGTGCTAGTTATGGAGTAATATGGACCATAGATTAAATCCAATTGTTGGATTTAATCTTGTGGTCAATTACCTATACTAGTGTTGTCACTCTCTAGACCAAAGTACAATATTTGAATTTTGAATTCAAATGAATTGGCTCTATAATTTCAAGACCTCTTCATTCTCTCTACTTGGACTTGGCATAACATTTGAGAGAAAGCATAGAGAGGTAACCAAGTGGGAGCTTTCCATAACTCCGGCGAAATTCTTGGTGGCTTCTGGTGGATCCTTTCTCGGTATATCCATTGCCATTCCCGTGAACGATGGTGCATGATCCGGTGTGGCACAAATTTGAGCTCAACATCGAGAACACTTCATTGGTGGTGTTGAAGAAGCTTTGAGTTGGTTTGGTTCTGTTTAACACTTTGAGAGTTTATTATTTCGCATTATAGTTGTAATAATCTTTTATAAACTACACTTTAAACTCTACACTTTCCAATCAATCTCTCCGAATTCTCTGCTGACATTGAATTAATTCACGCACTTGTGCCAAGAGAAATAACATTACCTATTCCAAAAACTAACACTCCTCACTCAATTTCTCACACGACAAATTATCAACTCAGTGGTGAACTTCCTTGGTTATCATCCTCCCCAGTGCAATTAATGCTCAAACTTCTTAGATTATCCATTTACCAACTCGCCGTTTTCATCAAAATATAAATATTTAAACACTGATCTGAAGGAAGTAATATTCAAAGAAATAGAGACTTTAAAACATCAAAGAAAACCTACAAAAAATATCATTTAACCTCTGCGAACAATTAAAATATTATAGCGAAGCACAGAACAAAATTTGTTTTACTCCCAATTTTGCATTCAAATTTAATTAAACAAACAGATATTCGGATTTCATGTAATTACAACACAGTATTGCGATAAAATAGACTGCAAAGAGAGAGAGAGAGAGAGCACTAACCATGATGGGCATAAATATAAGCGGCACGCCAGGAATAGATGTGATCGCCCAGTTTGAGGCTGCTCCTTTCAACTCTGCTTGTTCAATTGGCAAAAAAACAACAAAAGCAACAGTTTTACACGGATTAGTATTGGAAAAAAAGCAAAAAAAAGAAAAAGAAAAAGAAAAAGAAAAAAAGTTTAATTGCTATTTAATTACCTGTTTGAGAGAAGTCCCATTTTCTGCGTTGATATTGTTTCTGCTAAGTTAGGACAAGAAACAGTAGTATTTGAAAGTTATAAATGTTGTTTCTTCGACGTTAAGGAAATTGATGCGGTGGCGGTGGCGGTGGCGGTTTCGGTTTGTTTGCACGTGTGACGACATCTGTAGTAGGAATTTGTTAAGGATCAAGTTTGGTTTGGGAATTTAAAATAATATCACTTATTAATTACTTAATTTAATATTTTAAGTGTCCTTTTAACTTAATAATTTGAGGATTGAAAATATTCTAATATATGTTTATTCAATTATTTAGAGATCTTTGTAAATTTAGAACTTGTTTGATAAAGTTTATTTATTTATTTATTTATTTTTAATTACAAGTTTTATTATATCCATAATTATTAACTTCGAATGTCATGAATTCACCAACTTTTATAAATCTTTTATTTGTTAAAAGTTCACGTTAAAGAGGCACTTAATTTATAATGTCCTTGTTTGATTTGATTAAAAATTAAATTTTTAGTAAATTAATAAAAATTTGATAAAATGTGGGATTAAAAAGTTAATAAAAGTTATGAATTCTATTAGTTGAAAGTAAATTTAGAAGGAAAAAAAAAAAGGAATTTTTAAATGGGACCAAACAAGAGCAATTATTACATATAATAGGCTTCCAATTACCATCCTGCTTCTCACATTATTCAAGTCATATTTAAATTGATTGATTTAACACCTAAAAAATATATTAAATAAAAAATGAGGATAAATAAATTTTAGGGAAAATTGTAACAGAAGCCCCAAACTCATGAAACATTAGCATACTTTCTCCAAACTTTTGATTTATTGCAGTCGTCACTCCTAACCTTTCTAAACGTTACAAGTAAAGCCCTTTTTTACGGTTTCCATCCACAATTTCGTTAATTGATCAAAAATTTAACTTTAACCACATTTTTAATAATTTAAAAAGGAGTAAAGGAGTCAATTTTCATTTATCACATTAAATAAGAATTAAATAAAAAATAAAAAAACACAACCCTCTCTGGCTCTCTTCTTCTTCCACCCCACCCCACCCAACCCAAATCCCAAATTCCACACCAACCACCGCCACCCCCACCTCCACCTCCAACTGAGTTTCTATTTAGCTTGCCTGGAGGAATAGTGAACCGAATACGGAGTTGTCTTCCATACCCAATTTTATATTGCGAAGTGGGTGCAGTTATTTTTGGGCGTAATCTTGCAAAACTTGGATTGAAATATGAGGGTGAAAATGCTTCTAATGTTAAATCTGTCGGAAAAGGAACTCCCGTGGTATTGTCATACTGAAGAGGATTGCTGCCACCAACGAGAACCCGACCATCGTTCTAATAAGGTTTATCTAAATCTTAAAACCATAAAAAAATAATTTTTCCAACTGTGATACCGCTCAATAGCATCGTCGACCATTCGTTGAAACCCTTTGGGAGTTTTCAAGTTGTCGAATCCATAGAGACCAGTTTCTCTAATTAATGGATCTGTGGAGGTGTGTACACAATGACAGGCAGGGATAAAATATGCCGCTGATCTGCGGATTAGGGTTTGCATAGTGGAAAACACTTGGAATTTTAAGTTGAAAACTGTAGAGAAGCTGTCGTTTGCAGATGGGGAAGAAGAAAAACGACGCTTATCTATTCAAACTGTGATCAGTCGCGTTTTGAACTAAAGAATTCGTCGAATTAAATAAACCCCGTGGAGGTGGAAGTGGAGGTGGAGGTGGCGGTGGTTGGTGTGGAATTTGGGATTTGGGTGGGGTCGGGGAGAGGAAGAAGAAGAGAGCCAGAGAGGGTTGTGTTTTTTTATTTAATTCTTATTTAATTTGATAAATGAAAATTTTCTCTTTTAATCCTTTTTAAAATATTAAAAATGTTGTCAAAATTAAATTCTTGGTCAACTAATGAAATTGTGGATGGAAACCGTCCAAAAGGGCTTTACCTGCAACATTTGGAAAGATTAGGGTGACACCTGCAACAAATCAAAGATTTGGAGAAAGTCTACTAATGTTTCATAGGTTTGGGGTTTCTGCTGCAATTTTTCCTAAATTTTATTGGCAAAAGCAAAATGAGCAGACATAGAACATAGTTGGAACGTATAAAAAAAATTACTCTTTAAATTTAGGCCCTATTTGACACCCATTATTTGAAAAATTAATACGTTCTGAATAGTATTTTTGGAAAATATGTGATTAAGAAGTAAGAAAATTTTATTAATTTGTGTGTAAAATATTTTATTGTATGAACGCGTAATAAAAAATGATATTGTGACAAACAATTTAATTTTTAAAGATTGTCAAACATGGGCTTAGATAAGCTCATGTTATCAAGTCCCTGTTTGTTTCCCCATTATTTGTCATTAAAATAAAAAATATGATTATTATCTATCAAATCAAGTTACGATGTTTGACTTTCTATCTTATGTGCGGGACCTAGACTATATTTTTTATTCTTATTTTTATATTAATGTAGCTCAGACAAGACCTAAATAGAAAATCTCTTAAAAGATCAATTACTATCAATCTGAAAAATACTATATTGTTTTCGAGTATGAATTCATGTTATGTTAAGAAACTCCTTTGTACAATGCATCTCTTCCTTCCCCCTTTTAACTCCGTTTTCACGAGGAATTAACCCTCCCGAGGAGAAAAATTCAGAAGCATATCGAACAAGACTCCATATGATCAATGCGGTCGAAGAATTAGAAATGAAAAAACGACTTATTCTAACTAAACCGACATTTTTGTAGGATGTTTCAAATTTATTATTCTTGTTCCTGAATAAGTTCGTCAAATAAACATGCACATACCAGTATATAACTTAGTTCTATCTTTGGTGTAGTACCATCAAGAGAAAGCCAAGCTTGAGGAAGTTAAGGTAGTGCTCTATTGCCAAGCTGTAAGCGCTTTGTCTTACAGCTGATTGATCTCATCTTTTCAGCTTTGGCATGAAGACAATTTCTAGACGTGTACAGCATTGCGTACCAAATATATAGGAATCAAAGCCATCGGATTAGAAGTTAATGTCGACATGAAAATGTTAGTAAAAGAAGAGGGGATGTTTTCAATCACAACTCACTCAATTTCGAATCTGAACACTTTGTTCCACAGGCCTTGTTAATGTCTTCCGCCCCAGAACGTGAAATTTCTTATGTGCAGCTGCTGACAGAAACCAAGAGGAGTTCAATTTAATATTGCGCCATTCAATTATGCAATATAACTTACCAGGTTGAACAATGGCAAGAGCCAATGCATTGCTTTACTTCATTTAGACCCTGAGAAAATTTATATTTATTAGCAATATAAAATTTAGAAACTACATTAGTCGAGCCTCATAACGGAAAAAAAAATGCAAAAATAGAAGGGTTACCAGCAGATCAACAGGCTCTTGATACTTGCGGCCAATTTCCTCTTCATACTCAGTCTGAGGATTCTCTAGTGCATCAACCTGCTCTTCTTTACTGTCAACTTCGGCAGCTAGTTTTTCACTTTCTTCAGGGGTCCAAGCTTCAGGTTTCTGGCTCTGGATACTCTTCATACTCCTTTTATTAACATTGCCAAACTTTATGCAAATTATTATTAATCACTGACTATATCATGTTTGCCAAAATAAGATGCAAATGCAGTTAAGTGATGCAGGTTGATCAATATATGCAAAACAACATACGTACAGTAATATGGGTGGAAAATGTACGAAACCTAGACTCGAGAAGCCCAAACGAGTTAAAATTAGAAATACATTGCAACATATAATTTAATTGAGTTTCTTTGAAATACATTTCTTTGATGAAAAAAAGACTTGAAAACTCCGTATGCTTTAAATGGTCACCATCAATATGATGAATCAGTAGCGGTTTAAGTAAGATTAATGTTAATGTTTGATACATAAAACATGTCTAGTATAAACTTATATAGAGAATAATTCACAAGTAATGTAATGATGATGATTTTTATGATAAAATCCTGCCTGGGAGTGCTTTTTATTCATTTTTCTTACAAATTTTTACCGTTATAAAGTGTATGTCAACTCATATCAGCCGCAATTATTGATTGAACCAAGCAAAATAATCCATGTGCCCCTTTTAACATATAATTCATTCGGCTTGAGAGAAGAGCATTTTTGGTAATTTAATTTGAAGGTAGTCAATAATTACGGCAGCAATGGGATCAATGTGCACATGCCAATGGTAAAAATTTACTAAAAATGGGATAAAAATTGCTCCCAGTCAGACTAGGGCTAAATTTATTAATGGTGGTAAAAAATAAAAATGAAAAAAGATTCTTGTAGCCGACCAACAACGCTTAGTTTGCCACTATTGTTGAAGGAGACGATAAGACTTGGAAAGCCTTGTGTTCTAAAAACTTCTTAAAGTGAGTAAGGTGAGCTTCTCACCAGTCTCTGACTTGACATGGGACCTGGATGTGGTGCTTCCCTTACGTATTCCTCCATCGTTGCTAGAAATGATGGAGGGGCCCGTGAATTGCCAAAAATTACACTTCAAATCTGTCTTTTGACTACAAATACTTATTATTTTACTTTTGAATATAAAATAAAATGAACCTGTCAGATAGGGAATTGTAAGGTACGAGCAAGGTCGAAAGTTCTGCAGAAGTCATAAAAATCAGCTAAATGTTCTGCCTGCGGAAACAAATGAAATGAGCAAAATGAAAATAAAGATCAGCAATCTTGTATGTACAATACTTGTCGTCTACGTTAGTTTCCATGTGGAAATAAGTTATTTTTAACATGAAATGAAGGAGTAGACCTGTTTAGCTGCTGTTTTGTAAATATTTAGAGGTTTGACAGCATCATGTTTGGCCATATCAAAATTCTACGAAAAATTATCTTAAGATAGTTTCCCAATGTATGGAAGATAGTCTCAGAGTCCCTTAAAGGGAAATACCCTATCAACAAGATTAATGATCCCGTCATTGATCGCACAACATATTTTGAAGCTTTCGTTCAACACCTGTAAGATCACAATTTTATATCAACTCGAGTGAATTGTGATTTAGAAAATTCAGAAAATAGTGTTTCCCAAATGACGTAATCGGTTTCAAAACTTACTTCTTGGGAAAAAAATAATTAAAAAAAATAAAATCTATTAATTTCTCATCTATGCTCATGGGGCTGTGCATAAA